CTCCCAACCCTGATCTGCACACGCTCAACGGGAAGGGTGGTGAGGCCATGTACGTGGCCAGCTATTGGTGACAACAACACAGCAACACAATTTGATCCACGAAACACACAGCTTGAGTTGCCACGTGTAAAGTGTTCGCAACCACTATTGTCTGAAGCGTTGCCACAGTTGTAACCATGAGAGCACACGACAATTGTAACCATGAGAGCGCACCACAGTTGTTTGTAACCATGAGAGCGCACCACAGTTGTTTGTAACCATGAGAGCGCACCACAGTTGTTTGTAACCATGAGAGCGCACCACAGTTGTTTGTAACCATGAGAGCGCACCACAGTTGTTTGTAACCATGAGAGCGCACCACAGTTGTTTGTAACCATGAGAGCGCACCACAGTTGTTTGTAACCATGAGAGCGCACCACAGTTGTTTGTAACCATGAGAGCGCACCACAGTTGTTTGTAACCATGAGAGCGCACCACAGTTGTTTGTAACCATGAGAGCGCACCACAGTTATTTGTAACCATGAGAGCGCACCACAGTTGTTTGTAACCATGAGAGCGCACCACAGTTGTTTGTAACCATGAGAGCGCACCACAGTTGGTTTGTAACCATGAGAGCGCACCACAGTTGTTTGTAACCATGAGAGCGCACCACAGTTGTTTGTAACCATGAGAGCGCACCACATTTGTTTGTAACCATGAGAGCACACCACAGTTGTTTGTAACCATGAGAGCGCACCACAGTTGTTTGTAACCATGAGAGCGCACCACAGTTGTTTGTAACCATGAGAGCGCACCACAGCTGTTTGTAACCATGAGAGCGCACCACAGTTGTTTGTAACCATGAGAGCACACCACAGTTGTTTGTAACCATGAGAGCGCACCACAGTTGTTTGTAACCATGAGAGCACACCACAGTTGTTTGTAACCATGAGAGCGCACCACAGTTGTTTGTAACCATGAGAGCGCACCACAGCTGTTTGTAACCATTAGAGCGCACCACAGTTGTTTGTAACCATGAGAGCACACCACAGTTGCTTGTAACCATGAGAGCGCACCACAGGAGCGGCCATGAGAGCTTACCACAGTAGCTGCCATGGGAGCGGTGGTTGGGCAGACAGACACAGGTCCTGTCCTCGGTGCCGCGGTCGATGCACGTGCCCACCAAACACCCGTTGACTCTGTCGTAGCCACACACGCCGGCTGGCGGGTGAAACACACAAGGGGCAGAGAATAGCAGGCAGCGGAGTGGCAAGACAAGGAGGATACGATTGGAGGATCCGTGGGGCAGGAAAGGGCAGAGAAGACGAGGAACATTGCTGCTGCCAGTACTGAAATGCTTTGATCAGGCAACGGTGCTTCCCAGGGGCACAGGCGATGCCAGCCCCAACACAGCCTCCTCGCGTGGGAACCGTATCGGTTTTGGCAAGAATGGAGGTGGCATAGCGAACCACCGTATTGGGGCTTACTGCTTGAACTCTCTTCGTCGGGGTACTCAGAAGGAGGTGTGGTGTCGTCGCTGGGAGGAGGTGTGGTGTCGTCGCTGGGAGGAGGTGTGGTGTCGTCGCTGGGAGGAGGTGTGGTGTCGTCGCTGGGAGGAGGTGTGGTGTCGTCGCTGGGAGGAGGTGTGGTGTCGTCGCTGGGAGGAGGTGTGGTGTCGTCGCTGGGAGGAGGTGTGGTGTCGTCGCTGGGAGGAGGTGTGGTGTCGTCGCTGGGAGGAGGTGTGGTGTCGTCGCTGGGAGGAGGTGTGGTGTCGTCGCTGGGAGGTGGTGTGGTGTCGTCGCTGGGAGGAGGTGTGGTGTCGTCGCTGGGAGGTGGTGTGGTGTCGTCGCTGGGAGGAGGTGTAGCGTATCGGGCAGCCACACAAAGCTGCAATAGAAGTTGCACCAGTTGCAAAGGAACACACAGGAGTCAAGGAATGGAATCATTAGAAGCTACAAACCATGCTGGCAAATGGGAATTCATTGATCTTATCAAATATGACTTGTATATGAAATATGTATCCACCAGCAATGCACAATCAGCCACTACTCAGTCATTTGCCTTGAACTTACACCATCAATGTCGCGTAGGGAGTCGCGGAAGGAGATCCAGGGGTTGAGCCTGCAGAGATCCACCATGGTGGCTCCATGGGATGCCGCCACCTGCTTGAAGTCCACCACTCGGCTGATCTGTATCTCACTCTCACAGGTTGGCCTGCCCTTGGCTGGGTCGCGCTCCACACAGAGAGAACGGAACGCAAGGAGGCGAGAGGAGCAGCTAACACCGGGGTTGAGCTGCTGCAGGCTTTCCTCGGTGATGCTGAGAAACTGAGCGACGGACGAGCACGTGTCGGCCTGTGGGAGGGAAATTAAAGGGGAAAATGGTAGGGAGGGGGAGGGGAGGGGGGGTTAAGAAGGAGAGGTGGTCAAAGGGGGTGAAGGAAGATGCAGCAACACAGAGGTAGTGGAACGCTAAGAACGCCGAGGTGCAAAAAGGGTCGAGTAGAACGTGGTCTTCCTGCTTGGGCGAAGGATGGTCAGGCGAAGAGTGAAGGGGGAAGAGGACGCACAGCACATGGTGGCATCCCCGCTATCCATACGTGATGCATGGACTGCTCTCATAGCAGGAGCAACATGTGAGACTCACCGGCTGGACGTAGTAGAAGGCAGAGCAGGCTGGCAGAAGCTCGTTCACCACGAGCTCGCGACCCTTAGGAAGGAGAGCGGAGCAGTCGATACCCTGGAGGGGAAGGGGGGAGAGGGTGAGAGAGATGGAGACAGTGGAGCAGAGGGAGAGAGAGAGGGCGAGAGAGGGAGAGGTTGAGAGAGGAAGAGGGTGAGAGAGAGACGTGAGGTGGAAAGAGTATGAGGCGGAGGGGGTACAGAAACAATAATGGATCGAGATGCACAATTAAAGGCACACACACAGGCTTGCAGGAATGGAGATGGTATGGCTTGCACGCAGCATGTTGCAGGGCTCACCTTGTTCATATCGGTGAACTGCTGCAGCGTGAGGCCATACATGCTGTATACATCCTTGCACCTCCAGTCGCTGCCTTGGACTGTAATGGACGAAATGGGTTCCCAATCCTGATCTGCCATGGAAGAAAAAAGCACACCTTGAGTTTCAATGTGTGAACATATGTTTGCAGTATAGACCATTGTCAGGAGCGTTGCGAGCAGCGAGAGAGCTTACCACAGGAGCGGCCATGAGAGCTTACCACAGTAGCTGCCATGGGAGCGGTGGTTGGGCAGACAGACACAGGTCCTGTCCTCGGTGCCGCGGTCGATGCACGTGCCCACCAAACACCCGTTGACTCTGTCGTCGCCACACACGCCAGCTGGCGGGGGAAACACACATCAAGCAGAGGACGGCAAGAATGAAGTGGCAGGTAAGATACAATTGGGGGATCCGTGGGGCAGGAAAGGGCAGACTAAGGCGAGGAGCATCGCGGCTGCCGGTGCTTCCCAAGCGATGCCACCCCCAACATAACCCTTTTTTGCGTGGGAACCAGATCGGTTTTGGTGAGAATGGATAGTGGCATGGCGAAACGAACAACTGCATTGGGGCTTACAGCTTGAACTTTCTGCATCGGGATACTCGGAAGGAGCTTTGGTGTTGCTGCCAGCAGCTTTGGTGTTGCTGTCAGCAGCTTTGGTGTTGCTGTCAGCAGCTTTGGTGTTGCCGTCAGCAGCTTTGGTGTTGCCGTCAGCAGCTTTGGTGTTGCCGTCAGCAGCTTTGGTGTTGCCGTCAGCAGCTTTGGTGTTGCCGTCAGCAGCTTTGGTGTTGTCGTCAGCAGCTTTGGTGTTGCTGTCAGCAGCTTTGGTGTTGCCGCCAGGAGCTTTGGTGTTGCTGCCAGGAGCTTTGGCGTTGCTGTCAGCAGCTTTGGTGTTGCTGTCAGCAGCTTTGGTGTTGCTGTCAGCAGCTTTGTTGTTGCTGTCAGGAGCTCTGCTGCTGGTGGAGCCAGTGATGCAGCGGGCGGACTTGACTGCCTTGCGGAGGGGCTTGGACCTGCGCACGGGGAGAACCATGAGAGCAGGCCGCTGGTCAGAACGGGGGATGAAGGAATGGCGTTAAGAGCATAGAAGCAGCTAGATGGAGAACGAGGGGCTCACCTCTGCTTGCCTTGCACGAGGGGCTCACCTCTGCTTGCCTTGCACGACAGTGTCCACCGCCTTCCCCGTGCACTTGGGACTCTTGAAGAACTGTATCGCCGTGCAACCCGCCTCGCCTTCCTGCTGCCACGACACCTGCACTCTCCTCGTCCCGCCGCCGGCTGGAATGGCGGCACAGCGGAGCGCGTTGAAGGTGAGAGAGCGGCCGTTGATCTTCATCCGCGTGCCAACCACTTGGTCATCCTCGCTCGCCGCCTTGCTCGATGCCTTGCTCGATGCTGCGTCTGCTGCCTGCGATGATGCCCTCAGGGGACTCGCTGCAAGGATGGGAGCACGTGAAATGCGAAGACGAGGCGAGCGGGCGTGAGGTGCACTCAGTGCGCCGATTTGCACTCAGTCTCGTGTCCGTGAGGTGCATTTGAACGCGCGAGCAAGATGGCGATGCGAGGATGTGTACATGGGTGCATGAGCGCGTGCGCGCATAAATATGATGCAGCGTACCAACGGTGACGGCCATGACGACTCGTATGATCAGATGTAAGGTGGGTACACGGGGTGGAATGAGCGCACAAAGACAATGTGCCGTACCAGCGATGACGACTATAACGACGAGCAGCGCGAGCACTGCCTTGCCCTTCCCCATGCTGCTGCCGCGTGCCGCGCGACCGACTCTTCGCCCGTGACGGCCGTACAGATGTCGAAGGGCTCGCGAGAGGACTCTCGGAGAAGATTTTGGCTGGAAAATAGCACGAAGATGGTGCAGCTACTCAATGAAAGCTGGAAGAGCGAGAAAGTTGTAAGATTTACAGCACCGGCAGGTTTGGTGCTAAATGCAGTTATGATAGTGAAGAGGGCAATCCCTCGCGGATCATAATATACGACAGCAGCTTCAGTGTGACCCGCAGAATGCGCGAGGCGGGGACCCCTGTGACTGGAGATGCACACCTTGCCCATCATGGGCGCCAAGCTTTGGGCTGTACTCATCGCTAGAAAGTAGTCGCAGAGAACGCGTTACGGAAACACTTCGGCCTGGCGGAGCCTCTGTGGGGTGGGATGCTAGCGAGTAATTTGCGGGGATTGAATTGGGTCATGAAAGATGCCATTCTCGCATCTTACGAGTGACTGAAATATCTTAATCTGGTGTGGAATGGTCTAAAGCGGTGAAAACCGAAAACCGTTTCGAACGCGGTAAGGTACCGCGTGAGGATCTCTAATCGAATAGAAAAGAGCCGCATTATTGAAAGTGAAGTCAAAGGAGACTCGCAATATTAACTGTTCCCACTTATGGTCGTGAATGCATTGGCTTCATAGTGCATACATACGACTTTAATTTCGAATTCCCTGTTACCGAACCTCTTCGATTTCAATTTCTTCGGTTTCAATTTCTTCAGTCCTGCATCAGCACGATGTGTGTGTGGCGTTCAACGCTAAATCATGGTACCATATTCCATTTAAGGAATGTCAATCCAACCACCCCCCCTACCCCCCCAACCACCCACCCTACCCTCAACCCCCCCCCCCTCCCTCCCTCCATCGACTACCCCGTCTTCCCCCTTCCCGTCAAACACCCCATCGTGGTCCCAAATAGCACCAAGCACGCCTTGCCACGCACCGTGCCGCACTCTGCCGCACGTGCCTGCAACGCCCTTCTGCCCGCCCAGCCGCGCTCTGTCACGCGAGCCTGCTGCGCCCTGCATGCCTGCCACGCACTCTGCCACCACGCCTACTACGCACTCTGCAATTACGCCTGCTGCTGTGCCTGCCACGCGCCTACCGTGCGCTCTGGCTCAGTACCTCTATCTGTCGTCTCCTCCGCCTGTTGCTCTCCCCTCTCATCTTGCAGCTATGCCCCTGCTCACTTCTGTCATGGGGTTTGAGTTCGTCATGCGACTCAATGTGGAGGGGCGGGCAAGCGACTTACATGCATGGCTGCTCAATGCCAAGCTCCACCTGCAGAGGCAGTTCCAGGACGATGCCTACCTGTACGCCAACGTGTCAGATCAGCTACATACCCTCCCCCGTCCTACTGCTCTTGCTGCTGGCACCACCTCGAAGGAGTAGAAGGTGCACCACAACGCCCAGTTTGCGTGATTGGTTTGGGTTTCCCCTTACCCTGCTGCGCAAATTGCTCTTCATCGCCTCCTGCCAACGACCGAGCGAGTGCACTTTCGCCGGGTCACGATAGCAAAGGAGTGCTGGGATGCAATTATTCCTCGCTACTCCAACCCCTCCTTTGCTACCCTAGGGCGCCTCATCATGCCTTTCCTCTTCCCTGACCTTCTTACCTTCTCTATTGCCGCCGACTCATTATCGACCTGCGCTCGCTAGACGCTAGCTTCCGCGTTGCGTGCACTTCTGACGACTTGCTGATCACACCTCCGCCCATGTATCTCAACCTGCACCTCCTCATGGACATCTTTCCTGACCGCATTGTCAAAACTATATTGTAGGCTGCTGTGGGGTAGAGAATATGGGGTACAACTCTTTTAGGTTTTCATCCTTGTACCTACCTGCTTGCTAGTTCATTCACTTCCTTGTTTTTATTCTCACATGGTATTAGAGCATGTGAGAGCCGGGAGCCCCCTGCCGTCGTCGCGGCCCCGCCCTACAGCAGCTGCCGCGGAGCCGCCTACAGCAGCTGCCGCGGAGCCCCCTGCCGCCGTCGCGGCCCCGCCTTGCTGCAGCTGCCGCGGAGCCACCTGCAGCAGTCGCGCCCCCGCCCTGCAGTAGCTGCCGTGGAGCCCCCTGCCGTTGTTGCGGCCCCGCCTTGCAGCTGTCCCCGCCCCGCCGTCGTCGCCGTCGTGCGCCTACCATGCTCGCCCAGCGAGCGACTGCCCTTCCCGCCACCGGTGAGCACTTGCCCTACCCGCGCTTCCCGCGCGCCTACCTTACTAGTGCGCTACCGCACTGGCCCGCCTACCTGCTTGCCGCGCCTGCCTGCGAGCCGAGCCGTGCTGTGTTGGATGCACGTCATTCTGAGTGCATGTCATCCTAACGTCCTGCCGAGTGCTCGTGCTATTTGTGCTTGCATGATTTGCATGAGCGTATGTCATTGTGCATGGCTGTTGGATATTATCATCTCTGTGTTTTCTCCAAGTTTGAATGCTTGACAATGCAGGAGAAATTCAGAGCTTTCCAACGATACCAGGATCGCCTTATGATCAAGATTGCCCAAGTTACAAGATTTCCAAGATTTGGATTTCTTATTACCTTTTGGGGTTATATCTAATTTGGGTGATTACTTGGGACATGACTATAAAGGGATCTTTGGTTGGGTGGTTAGGAAGCCAACTTTGACTTTTGGATTGGGGTGGCTAGAAGTTTCTAGCATGGGTTGCAAATGTTGCAACACCTAGGCAAAATCCAACTAGATTGGATTTTGCATGTGACACCTCAAGGACCTCATGATGAGGGTTGCATCCTTGCTGCTAGGAAGGTTCTTACCATCCTTCCCTAGCTCTTGGAGAACCCCTTCCCTCTCATGGTTCTCTTGGAGGTTCCCAACTCCAACTTTCTATGCCCTAATGCTTGTATTTCCTCCACCATTCTAGTCATGCAGCTGCTGGACGTTTTTACTTGGTTCTCACTCCATAAACCATCTTAACGAATGATTCAACTTGGAGATGGTAGCTAAGCCTAAGGCGCAACTTCCTACCGAGCGGATTTGCGTGTAGTTGAGTAATGAGTTCGTCGTAAGCTCTCAAAGTGACGGATCCTGAACAACAAGTGGTATCAGAGCGGGGAGTCGACTTTGAGACGACGAATCGTGGTTAATTCTCAACCAATGTTGTCAAGTGAGACCAGTTTCTAGTAGCTCTGCTCGCCAAATTTCCATTGCTGGTCGAATCGCGTTCTAATTCGAAGTATCTAGTCCGTGACGACGATTTTCGTAGAATCAAAATTTCTGGCAGAATTCTCTCCAAACGATTTCTCAAATTTCCACCGTTCATAAGGCCTCAATATGGTTGGTACGAACTCCGGAGGTGCTAGTGGCGAGATGGATAGAAGTAGAGAGGCTGGAGAGCAGGGGGGACTTGCTGGTGGAGGAGTGGGGACTCACCAACCAGCTAACCCTACGCTACCTACTTCTTCTACACCATCTCCTACTACCGTGGATCCTGTGAAAGCTTTCTCTATTGAGAAATTCATGGGGGAGGACTACGAGCACTAGAGTTTCCGCATGAGGCTGATGTATACCCAATACAAGCTATTGGATTTGGTGGAGGGAAAGGAGAAGATGCCGGAGGCCGCGGAGCTGAAAGGAGCGTGGATGAAGCGATCGTTTGACGCGTACATGCTCATGGTGCAAGCGGTTGGCGGGCGGCAACTTGACCACATCAAGGACCTCTTGGGTGATCCAGAGTGTGGCCCCAAGACTTGGAGGAAGCTTCTGGATGTGCACTCACCGACACATGCTACCGGCATCGTGCTACTCGCGCGGCGGCTGCGCGACATCAAGTTCGTTGATGGAGAGCCGATGCAACCGGTGTTGGATGAGATGCGCGACATCTTCACGAAGCTCCAAGGAGGCGGTGTGGTGTACCCGGAGCTCGTGCAATGCGTGGAGATCGTGATACGGCTGCCGGAGTCATGGTCTGCCCTTGCGATCAACCTCAACTCCCAACAACCCCAATGGAGCGTGGATTACATTCGCGCGCGCATCCTAGAGGAGGACTTGCGGCGGCGGAGTGTGGAGCGCTCGGAGGAGGGGGCTGGCTATGGAGTTGGAGGTGGAAAGGGTGGCTTCAAGAAGAAGTGGAAGGGCAAGAATAAGGATAACCCTAAGGAGGATGTTGGCGGGGGTCAAGGGGAGGTGTGCTTCTACTGCAAGAAGCGCGGACATCGTTGGCGGAAGTGCTACCAACGACCCAAGGATTGGACCCCGCCTTCATCAAGCAACCAGCGTGGTGGCACAAGGAGTGGGGGAGTCATGGGGGCTAGTGGAGAGGAGAAGGATGAGGAGAAATGCGGCAAATCTGAGGAGCGGAAGGCCGGGTTCTTCTTCTTCGTGAATGAAGGCGCAACCGACCACGCTATGGCTGCCAAGGTTCTCCTACACCCCTTCACCCATTGGGTGATTGACTCCGGAAGCTCTTGGCACATGACTCCTCGTGCGGACCTACTTGATGAGATTCAGCCCGCACCCATCTCTACAGTCACATCCGCGACGGGCGCCAAGGCCAAGGTCATGGGCATGGGATGCGCCAAGTTAATGGGAGCGGATGGAGAGCTCGTGGGGCTGAAGAACGTGCTGTGGGTGCCGGAATTGTGCGCGAACCTGATATCTACTGGCCGATTGGGAGATGCGGGTGTGAACACCTAGACGATTGGCTCTGAGCGCTATCGTGCCTACAACGATGAGCGCCTCATTTGGGACCTGCAGTGGAAGGGAGATGTCCACAAGCGGATGTGGCAGATCCCGGTCCTCCCTTGGCCGAAATCGGGCAAGACGGCAGCAGCGGCATCTATGGAGGAGTGTGTCACCAAGGAGGAGCAACAAGGTGTGCAAGGAGAGGAGCTGATTGGAGGAAGCACGGCGGTGAAGGCGCCGGCTACCTCGGGCCAAGCGGTTTGGGAGACTTGGCATCGGCGGCTCGCACACGTGGCTGTTTCTACATTGGAGGTGATGCACAAGGAGAAGTGCGTGCATGGGCTGCAACTGCAAGGAGATGGTAGTCACTATGGCAGCTGCGAGGCGTGCATGCAAAACAAGTTTGCGCGGTTCCCGTTCCCACGAGCGGAGGCACCATTGGAGGTGGTGCACATGGACCTGGTGGGTCCTATGAGGACTGAGGGGACTCGGAGAGTGCTCTACTTCCTCACCATGGTGGACGAATGGAGCCGTTTCACGTGGGCGCGTCCCTTGTCCAAGAAGAGCGATGCTGTAGCGGCAATTAAGGAGGATTGGTTGCCGATGGTGGAGCGGCAAGCGATGCGGCTGGTGAAGGTGCTAAGGAGCGACCGAGGTGGAGAGTTCCTTGGAGCGGAATTCACCAAGTTCCTCAAGAGAAATGGCATCCGACATCAGCTGACCTGCCCTAGAACACCGCAGCAGAACGGCATTGCTGAGCGTGCCAACCGGACCATTGGCGAGGCGGCTAAGACCTTGTTGGGGGCTGCTGGGATGCCCTACAAGTTCTGGCCTGATGCCGTTCACCATATCATCACGGTCAAGAACAGGGTCTTGAGTCATGTTGGCGACAAGCATTGGGTGCCGTACGAGTGTTGGCTTGGGAAGAAGCCATCTATTGACATGCTGCGGGTGTGGGGCTGCATGGGGCTTGTGATGGTGCCTAAGGAGCAGAGGCACAAGCTGGAAGTGGCTGCTGTGTGGGCTGTCCATCTTGGGATGGCTCCTGACTCGAAGGGGTGGCAGATGTGGGACCCCAAGAGCAAGAAGTCGCTGGTCAGCCGTGACGTCAAGTTTGTGGAGGACGTCATGTACAAGGACTGGCAGCAGCAGCACCAGCAGCAGGTGCAGATTGGCCTGCATCTGCAGGAGATTGAGCGGTCTGCAGTGGAGGAGGTTCAGCTGCACCTTGATGAACTCCATGGGTCAGAGCTGACCAGTGACCACAGTGGCGGTGGTGAGCAGCAAGGCGCTGGTCCTACTGCGGAGGAGGGGTTGGAGGATGAGTCGGCACGTGTGGACTCACCTTCTCAGCCCGAGCCTGCTGCTAACGCGAAGGTCACCAAGAGGAGTGTTCAGAGAGGAGCTTCACCACATGGGCAGCAGACTGTAGCCCGTGAGAAGAGAGTGGCAGCAGCACCCTCAAGGCTGAAGTATAGCCGTTTGGGAGGACCCAAGCAAGGTGCCATGGCGGTACAGGCGGATGAGGGAGAGGATGAGGAGATGGCGTTCTGTTTCTTCACACCCTTGCCTGGAGAACCAGCCACAGTGGAAAAGGCACTTAGTGGACCCCAGAAGGAGGAGTGGAGGGCTGCCATGGATGCGGAGTTCAACAGTCTCATTGAGAATGGGACTTGGGAGCTTGTTGAGCTACCCGAGGGGCGACGGCCGATCAGCAGCAAGTGGGTCTTCAAGGTGAAGAGTGGAGCTT